GTATGAATCTTCTAACAACAAACTTATTTTTCTTTGTTGTAGTTATATGCAGTCAAATAGCCTCTTACCTGTGAAGACCCTAAAAAGGAATGACTTCCTTCATAATATTCTGTCCTTGACAGATGCTCAGGTCCTTTAAACTCAAGGCTATGACTTCCTGGATCAAATAAATCCATCTCATAGTTGGTCTTCCTCTTCTTCTTCTGCCTTCGACTTTCCCTATCATGACTGTCTTCTCCAGTGAGTCTTGCCTTCTCCAGATGTGCCCACTACATTTAAATAAATGTTCACTTAATAAAGAAACTGAAATTCATTCAGTTAATTGACTAAGATTTCTTAGCCATAGCTAACTTCTTAACAGATTGGGAAAGTCTGACTGGTAGGAATGGAATTCCATATGGTGGGAGTCACCACTGAGAAATCTCTTCTCCCAACCTCTCTTAGTGATGGAATCCATAACAGGACTTCATTTGAAAATCTGAACAAATGGAGAAAAGGTTTCATACAGAAAAGGGTACTCTTAAAGTTAACTCAGGCTCAAGCTCTTCAGTGCATTTAACTCAAAACTAAACATTTTGTGTCTAGAACATAACTGGTAACAGCAAGTCTTTCAGCACTATTCAATTGGACCACCTGGTTCAGCCAACAATCAGGTTGCTGCTTGTAGATCAACTTGACTTTCTTAACATTCTTCAAAGGCAGCCCCTTCAAAGGCATTCATAGTCTGAATGCTAACAAGGCAGCTATGAAGTGACCAACCCTGACACTAAAGAATGGGCACAGTTGACAAAATGTCACAAATGCCACTTACATATTTAAAAGAAGAACTGAGCAAAGGAGTTTTCCCTAAGCTGTGAGTCTGATACTTAAAGGGAACCTATTAGAACATGGTTACTGTTAACAGCAAAATCAGCACGACCATCCTGTCAGCTTCCCCTGAGTTTCAAGGTTTAGACACTATTCAGCCCATTGTTGCCACATCAAGAAGAAAATCAGAAATAGAGTAGTGTGCTATCTTTATGTTGCTGTCATTGCACCTTAGATTTTTTTTTCAAAAAGATACATGTAGATGTTGAAATGAAAATCACACTTTGAAAGATAAATCCCATGAAGAAGAGGAAGACTAGATCTGTTTTTATGCCTTACAGGGGCATATTTTCCTATAGAAGAGAATGGGACTCTCTAATAGCCTTCAGAACTACAGTCAAATATGAATTCCCAGGATACGCAACACATGGATGTGTTTTTTTGTAAATGGAAGACCTCCTTTTCACAGAAGGGAGATCTAACAAAGGCTTGCTGGCAGGACACTCCCACTGTTGGGGTAGAAGCCAATTTCCTATCACAAAGGCTGCCATATTCATAGGATAGTTAACATCACAAGTACAAATACATGTCCATATATCTGGGTGTATATCTACATTAGAGTGCCAAAGCAGGTCCATTAATAAAGAATCTTTATGTGTACATGCACATAGTGGGAAGATCCCTGTTGCATTCAACTGAAGAAGAATTTTGTCCAGCATTCTGATTTTTCCACAGTTACCAGCCAGTTGCTTCTTGGAAGCCCACAAGTACGACACAAAGTCAATAACTCACTCTCTCGTGGTTGTTTCCTAGAAGTTGCTATTTGGTGGTGCTTTGAATTGCTCTAATTTACCTCAAACTTAACTTTATTAATAGAAATAAGAACGATAACAATTTACACATTTTTGCCAACAAGTTACAAGTTTCTTTACTCTGGTCACATAAAATTATGGAGTTTTGAAGGCAACAAACTCTTAGAAGGCATTTTAGGCAACACCTTGGTTATGGAACGATTTTCCCTGTAAGTTGTCAAGATGCTTGAAGAAGTGGTAGTTGGTGGGCAAGAGGTCAGGTGAATATGGCGCATGAGGCAGGATTTCATATCCTAATTCATTCAGCTTTTGCAGTGCTGGTTGTGCAACATTTGGCCAGGTGTTGTTGTTCAAGGGAATTGGGCCTTTTCTGTTCACCAATGCCAAACACTGCAGTTTCCTGTGTATTTCATTGATTGCTTGACAATACTTCTCTGACGTAATGGTTTCACCAGGATTCAGGACATTGTAGTGGATGATGCCAGCTGCAGACAGCCAGTCACCATAACCTTCCTTTGGTGCAGTTTTCACTTTGGGAAGTGTTTAGGAACTTCATCTTGATCCAGCCCCTGAGCTGAACATCGCCTGTTACCATTTAGCAGGGGTCCTCAAACTTTTTCAATAGTGGGCCAGTTGAAAGGCAGCGGGTACATGCGCGGGCTGGTGGGTGGGGTGCATCATTGGGTGCGCACAAGGTGGTGTTGGGTGCGCGCGGTGGCGACTCGCTCACTCAGAGATCTCCCAGCAAGTCCAAAACCATCTCCGAGCGAGCAAGTCACTGCCTCCAGCTCGTGCTGCAAGGCAGCAGCGAGCGCGCGTGTGTGGGGGAGGCAGGCAGTGGCGGCGGCGGCTTGCTCACTCAGAGATGGTTTTGAACTCGCTGGGAGATCTCCCAACAAGTCCAAAACCATCTCAGAGTGAGCAAGCCACTGCCTCCCACATGCAGCGAGCATGCGTGCGGGCAGCGGCGTGGGCCGGATGAAAGGGCATGATGGACCAGATCTCTCCTGCGGGCCATAGTTTGAGTACCCATGCCATATAGGATCCACTTTTCATCACATGTTGCAATCCAATCAAGAAGTGGATTGTTTTTGTTACGCAAAAGAAGACAGTACTTCGAAATGATGATTTTTTAAAATTTTCAATTAGCTCATGTGGTACCCATTTATCAAACTGTTTGACCTTTCCAATTTGCTCCACATGGCGAACAATCATAGAGTTCTTAACATTGAGTTCTTCTGCAATGTCTTGTGTAATATTGCATGGATTGGCTTTGATTATCACCCTCAATTGGTCATTGTCAACTTTTGATGGTCTCCCACAACCTTCTTTATCTTTGAGGCTCTCATCTCCATTACAAAACCTTTGGAACCACAGTTGCACCATGAACAATTGAACAGTACCCGGGCTGAAAGCATCATTACTATTGTGAGCTGTTTCTGTACTTTATGACCCTGTTTGAACTCATACAAGAAAATTGCTCAGATTTGCTTCTTATCCATCATCAATTCAATAGGTGAAATCAGATCTTAAAGAAAAAGTAAATGATAAATCATTAAGAACAAGCAAATGGCCATCATTATATCTCATGAAAGCTAATTCTATAAACTAACTGTATGTAGAAGTACTTTTTTTTTGTTTTTTCCTGAATCTCCTCATCAATAAATTTCTTTGTATTGCATGTGCCCTGGATTGTGGGTGTGAAACTTAATACTTCCATTGTCAAAACATCATGTTCCAATAGAGGAAAGCTCTTCTACAGTCTTATGTTACATGACTTTGGAAAATTTAATTGGATGGTTTGTGCCAAACAATGTCTGATTAAAAATGATGTCTGATGCAATCAACTGGCTTTCTGTGAAGAGAGATCCTTACTCAAAATGCAGCAAGCTTTATTTGCTGTGCTGTTTTTCACTAAAACAATAGGTTTACATTCAAAGACATGTATGAGCTAAAGCACTGTTGCTTGGGCAAGGCACCCTTGTTAGTGTATCCTGATTTCCCTCTCCCACTCCATTTCCCAGTGCATACTCCCCAATCTAAAGGAGCAGTACTGGGGCACAGCAGAGGGACCTATGGTCGGGGGGGGGGGGGAGGAAATCCCTGCTGTTTCTTCAAGCTCCACTTGCCTGTCTTTAAATGCAAATTTTGAAATTCAGAATTTTCTTTTAAAAATTATCAGATGAGATAGGAATTGACAAGGAAGAGAAATAAAATAGTTAAAGGATTTTCATTGTAATGAGCTATTGAATACGTGAGGCAAAATACAGTGGTACCTTGGCTCACGAACTTAATCCGTTCCAGTACTCTGGTCATGACCCAAATTGGTCGTGAGCCAAGTCAAATTTCCCCATAAGGTTCACTGTAAATAAGTAACATTCTGTAACTATTTTTTTTAAATCAGAAAAATGTGATTCTGAAAAAATCAGAAGCAAAGTGACAAAGAACAACAAAGATCGCGGCCATCTCCCTGCCCCCTCAGCATGACTGTGATTGTGCCCGTCATCCCTGCATGTACCCGTCATCCCAGCGCGCTGGGGGGGGGAAGAGACGGACGCGATCATGGTGGGGGGGGGGGGGAGATGGCTGAGATCACGCTTGTGCAGGAAAGCCAGGCGTGATCTCTGCCCTCTCCCCCTGCCCCCAACACGATCGGGGTGGGGTAGGTAGATGGCCACGATCACAATCGCCACCCAATGTGGACTTTGTGACCTGAGTCAAAATTTGTATTAAATTTTTCTTCGCAACCTGATTTGGTCATGAACTGAGGTGTTCGTGAGCCAGTTGGTACCAGTTTTGAAGATGCCATGCTTATTATGCTCTGGGAGTACTTGTAGCTTAAATATGTGAGAGTGCAAAGCTCCAGCCCTGATAATCTCTTTTTAGGACTGAATCAGACTAACAATTAGGGAAAACTAGGGGACAAGTCGAAGGGCAAGTCAGTAAATAAGTACAGGGTCAAGAGCAGAAAGTTAGCATTATGGAATTTGGTTTCCAGAAAAAAGTGCACAGCCAAGGTCCAAACCAAGAGAAACACAACCCCAAAAGTGGAGTCAAGCCGGCATCCAGAAGTCAGGCACCCAGAGTCTCATTTACAAAGCAAAGACAAGAAAACAGCCTGCAAGGCACTAGGAACAAAGGTAGTTGTTTTCAAGCAGTGACTGGACTGAAATGGAAGGTTTATAGAGCCCCCCACCCCCTGGCTCAGTTGCAGCTTTGGAGGCCTATGGAGACTGAGGATATTGGATTGCACCCTTGTCTCCCTTGTCTCTGCATAAGAAACCATCTCAATGGTTTCTTATGCAGTTTCAGTTAAACACCTTGGCACAGTGTTTATGGTTAACATCTCTAAATGGCAAAATGCTTTTCTCTATTTTTCAGATATTTTAACATGCCTGATACGCAATATACTTCTCACCCGACTCAGCTGCCTCTGGTTCCTTCGCAAGAATCATTGTTTGCTTATGCCATTCCAATGGTTCAAATAACAACATCAACATTACCAGCATCATTTAGAAAGGTAAGAGAAACAAGCAAAAAGGAGCCACTGCGATGTAGTGGTTAAGAGTGTGGGACTGGGACTCTGGAAATCTGGGTTGACATTGGGTCAACCCTACCTCACAAAGCTGTTGTTTTGAGTATAAGATTGAGAGGAGGCAGAGAATTATGTAAGCCACCTTGAGTTCTTTGAAAGGAAAAATGGCAGGCTATAAATAAATAAAAGTATTAGCAAGAGTAAAACTCCTTTAAAAGAAAGTTAGTGAGTGCATCTGTAATTTTCAGCATTAAAATGTAGTTTTCTCTTTCTACACACACACACACACACACACACACACACACACACACACACCCTGTAATACAAAAGTCATGTCAAATGGCTTGGGGAAAGTTTATACAGAAAGAAAGAAGCCATATGTCTTCCCACATTCCACCTGGCTCCATGAAATATGCATAAAGCACAAAACAGTAGGCATTATCACAGTGAGTACATATGTATATATAGATGAACAGTAAATTTTAGAAATAAATCCAGTATATTAAATAGATATAGAATAAATACATTTGTCTTGTATGACAAATAAATGCTTTTGATAGATTGAAATAGGGGAAAATGGAAAGTTATCATGTGCTCATTCCAGTTTACAACCACTGAACTACAAATGAGCATTGATTGGCTTAACACACATAAATGCATTCAGTATTATACCATGCCAGAAAGTTAGCATGGAGAGAGGATGCTTCTGTTCCTGTCTGAGAAATACGCTTTAGCGATTTACCTTGTAGACGAAGTTGTGTAATGCCTTTCTTGTCACAACTTATTTTTAAAGTATCTAGTTTGTTGCATGAACTAATTTTCTCATCAGCAATAGGAGATCACCTATAAACCGAGAGATCTGGCCATTTTGCCTTTTTTTTTACTAGAAGGCAAACATTTAAATAGAAACAACTGATAGAATAAATGCATCAACATTTATGTGAAGCATTTAAAAATAAAAAGGAGACCACCCATATGAAGCATGTAGGAGAGAGGCAAGACTGATGTTATTTTTCCAGGATCCAATTTGGTTAAAGACCTTGATGAGTTTGTTGTTGTTTACTCTTCCGCATAGCATGTGAATTTGCTCAGTTTCCTGAGTTTCCTGCATTTAATACTTAATGATGCCATAGCATGCCATAATCAGATTATGTTCCACTTTACCACTTTATATTTTGTGAGTAGATCAAATTGGGGTTCCACATTGGTGTTAGAGCTGGGTTCATGCTTGAACACCTTTTCATCCCTTTCTGTTTGATGTGTCTGTGCTATGACAGAGTTATATATTTGAGTTATGATTTGTAAATTTAGATGTTGTATATTCCAACTTTTTGGGGATAATCCTGTGATTCGTATCAAATTTCTTAGTTCAAGGTTTTGATTTTTATTATTTCTTAACTGTGATTAAATATGTGAATCTGAAATGCTGGGTCTGTGTTGTTGTTAGTCGTGAAGTCATGTCCGACCCATCGTGACCCCATGGACAAAATTCCTCCAGGCCTTCCTGTCCTCCACCATCCCCCGGAGTCCTCTTAAGCTCACACCAGTCCATCTAGCTGGGTCTATATTTCCATGCAATTACTTCTTGCTTGGTAATATGCTGCATTCCTTGTTCGAGTGGCGCACATGTAATAATTTAGGCTTTCAATATTTTTTGGCACAAAGGCCCAGAGACTGAAAATTGTTTAGATGTGTAATACATGACCCAATCATGTGAATCCAGTCATTTGATTTTAACCAATTAGAACAATAGAATTTACAGTTTTACAAAGATGAAATTAGATATGCAAACATCACACTTACCTCTTGTTTATTTATTACTTTCAGTTTTTACTTACTCCTATTCACTATTTATCTTCAGTTTTGTCTTAAGCAGTCCATGCCATCCACCCTGAGAACCATTCTACAGGAAGCATTTATAGTGCTCTCTTGATTCCTTGCTCACAGTAGCTTGTGGGTGTAATGCACCCAAGGTGCCTTACAAAATTCCCTTTTATTTTATCCTCACAAAAACAACTCTGTAAGGTAAGTTAGGCTGAGAGGCAGTGACTGGCACGAAGCTACCCACTAGGTATCATGGCTGAGTGGGAATTGGAACTCAGATATCCGGAGTCCCTGTACAGTCCTCCTAACCATTATACCACACTGGCCCTCATTACACGACATTCTTATCCTCCATAGCTTCTTCCATGCTTTGCAATATTTTTTCTTCTTTTTTTCTAAGGAGGAAATTCTGATATAACCCTGAATAATGACATGAAACCCTACAGTGTTAATGCAATTCCACTATACCACAGCATAACCTAGTGGTTGTGTACTGGAACATATAGAAAGGCAGAAAATGAAAATTCCTGCAAGGGGAAATTATGTGAAAGATCCAGTCTTGATTTCACAAAGACTGTGAAAGCAGAAACATCGGTAAAAGTTCAAAGCCTCATATAGAAAATCCCTCAGTATGGCTGGCTACTGGAGTAATGTGGTATAGCCCTTAGAGGTAGCTTTTTCCAGCATCATACTTTCAGCTACGTGAGTGGTTTCCCTAGGAAGACAGGTCAATGCTATTTGTAATATTTTCATTCCAACCTCTAGCTTCTGAGGTTGTACCTCTTAAGGGTTGCTTTCCCTAGTTGGACTTCTTATGAATGTAGCTGGCCAGAGGAATTCTAGAAGTCCTACTTCCTGCCTCCGGTGGTCTCTTCTGATCATACTGACTACATTATCAGATCATGATAGTAAGATCCCTTTCCTGATACATCTCCATTTAGGCTTCTTATCACTTGGCTAGGAATTTTCCTGGGAGACAGCCAATTCCTGAAACAGTTCTATCCAATGCAATAATAAAAATGAGCTAAGCCGTTGCATTTCATGGTAAAACATTGGTTTCTGCTTTGAAGGAACTGACAAACATTCCTCCCACACCTGGAGTTAGTAATGGCATACCAGTTTAATTACAATTGACATTTTATCAGGTAAGGAAGAGTGAAAGCTAGTTGGCATAGCAAACTGAGTACTTCTGCAAAATCAACAACAGGCCACTATTTATCTTGAGCAGCATCTGGCATTCTCTTCATACTGTGAAGCAATTACCTGCAGTGTATCTCTTCATGAAGGCCTGCCTAATTCATGAAGAGTTTAGATGCTAGCTATGAATCAGGATGATTCAAGTGTAACTTTCCCAGCCTTTGATATCAGATTAATGCCTCTACATTGTATTGCCTGTTGAGTTATGCAAATCATACAACAAATCCATGGTTTGTTTAGCCCTTAGTGCAGTGGTTAACCCAACAATGAGACACATGTTTTGCCCTTACACAGCCCAGTGGTCTGGGTTTGGATGTCATGCACAGAAATTTAGGAAGAATCTACTCATGAGTTGTTGAGAAAAAGTGGAAATGATAAGTATAAGCAACACTCCTGCTTATGCATGACAACCTGTAGTTTAAACCACAGGCTGTTGTTACATGCAAACCAGGTCATTCTGAGGGGTTCCCATTACTTCTATATTGTTCCATAGTGTACACTTCTCATATATCATTTTTTCTGGGCTAAGTTGTATTTATAGGTAGCTTTGCTTTATTCTACTGTATAACTGATCTTACTATAGCATGCTGCTTTCTTTTTATTGAAAATATAACCTAGGACTGTTCAGGCTTCTCAGCATAGAAACCCATCATTTACCATGTTTTCCAAATCATAATTGTGTGTCCAATCCTTACCATCTGCCAGTAGAATGGACAAAGGTGTTGAAGGGTTTTCCCTTTCCCCCTGCAGCCCTTGGGCACCCTGCAAATCTCAGAGGTCTGTGAACCTCTTTGGCTCAATGCCTAGGCTTAGTACCAGCTGTTCAATAATAGCAGTGAACTACAGGATGTTGCCTAGTGAATGCTTCTACTGTCCATACTCACAGAACTGCATACCTCTGCAGTTGCACAAGTGCAGAAATATTTAAAAAATCTAATAACAGTTGTAGACATTGTGGGAACAGAAAATAACTTAAATTTCTTTGCCAACCTCTGACATCCCCATAATTTTTTATCTGGGCACTCTGAAGGTCCCCTCAGTGACTATCAAAATGGCAAGCATGAAAACTGACTGTCAAGCTGGAGATTGTGATTTCTGAGGGGGGAAAGTGCAAAAGGACGCACAAACACCAATCATGGTGGGGAATACCCAGCCAGTACCACTTACACCAAAGTGTTGCTTGTGCACTTGTGAAGCAGTTCACACTGGTGATGGCCCAAATGAACTTGGCAAGAGTGGCAAGAGGCTTTTTCTGCTGTTGCCTAGCAGTTTGCTGGCTGGTATACATGAGGCATTTTGGATGACACAGAAACCCCTTGTAGGTAGAGCAACCCCCAAATAATCCATGGAATGTCGGGGTGACTTGTTGGCCATGAACCAGCCATCCTGCAGGACATCATGGAGGAACTTAACACCTGAGATTAAGTATGTGGCAACTGGAAAGAGGACCTTGATCGTGGCAGCTTGCATTTGGAATGTCCTACCCCAGCAGAAGACTACCTGGTCCCCAGTCTAATGTCTTCTTGGGACAAGGCATTTTGGTATGTTGAATAATTAGTTTAAGTGCTGTTTTATGGATGAGACTAGTTTTATTGTTGTTTGCCAATACATGTTATTTATTATTTATTTTTAATCACGCATAGTTATTTCTTTTGCCTGTAAGTCACCCTGGTAACTTATGTGGAGGAATGGCTCATAAATTCTACAAACAAATAATACTTGGGCTCAATAGTACTGAACTGCAGACTCTTGCTTTCCCATCCAGTCTTCCATAACTCCTCAAATGGTACTTTTTGCAGGAAGCATTTATGCTTCCTGGCCATGCCTAGGATAATCGTCTCAGGTCCTTCCTCCCAATCTTTCAATATCTCTTAGTAAAGATAAATGATAACTCCACAAGAAGGAGCTGTTCTGAGGAAGAGCAAACAATACTTAAAACAGCATGTGCTCTACAACAATTTTAT